CAGAAACTAAGGTTTTTTTTCATGAACTATGTGTAATTAAAATATTAGCTTTAATACAATTTATGTTATATTCCAAGTTTTTTTAGTATAATATATTTTATACATGTTATTTTTTGTTTACTAGGAGTTTGTAGGAAGATTTCCAGTTTTGGTCCCATTCCACTCCTTGAATAGAAACCTGCTTGTACGAATTCTTACCGAGCCAAAAAATAGTACAGTCAAGCAATTCAAATTACTGTTTGGATTAGATAAAGTTGAATTAACATTCACGGATGAAGCACTTAGAGCGATTGCCTCACAAGCCCTAGAAAAAAAAACAGGTGCTCGAGGATTACGAGCAATTGTGGTAATGTTTACTCTAAATTCTTATTTTATATAATAATGCGAGTACTGAAATAATTAGTAACTCAAACTTTAACATTTACTTTCAAAATACAATGAATAATTTAATTTATTAATTATTTCAATTAAATATAATAAATAGTCAAATTATTGTCTCAGCGTATTTGTGTCGTTGACTAAAACTGTGCTTATATACTATAATTTTACTAGACTACTACACTTAATAAACTGTTTGTAATGGTTAACAATTATTTATATGATATATTTCTAACAATTTCCACAGGAATCCATTTTGTTAGACCCAATGTTTGAAATACCTGGATCTGATGTAGTGAGTGTTCATGTCACTGAAGATGCGGTCAATGGAAAAATGAATCCACATTGTATCAGAGGCCGTCCAATTGATGAAGGAGAAGCCAAAATGGATACAAGAGCTAAAGTTGAATGAATTAACGCTGTTTTTAAAAATGTATATGTAATATTGTCAAAAACTACTAAAGTTTGTTAAATACTTATAAAAACCTTTATTCAAGAAACATCTATTTCTTTTTAAATTAATTTTGTTTCTTTGTCATTAAATTATTTTAATATTTAGGTTTAAAATGTTTTGTAAATTGCATTATAAGAGTAATAGGTACATAGTTTATGTATTATTTGTGATACTATATGAATATGATATATATAAATAAGTATTCATAAATAAATCAATACTTTACAATTATATTTATTATTATTTTTCTTTAGAATACCTAGTTATATTATTAAAAACCAACTTATTTGTGGATATGTCATAACCAACGATTTATATTAGTTATGTTGTACGTATAATAATAATTATTATTATACAATATTAATATTTATTGAATTTTAAAAAATAAATTTTTATTAAGTCAGGTTATGAAGCACCATTTGTTTAGTACTTAAGACCTAGTCTTTTTGATAAATATTATGTACCTAATAGAGAGAAAACTAAAAAAAATACTGAGAACCAAGAATATTTATGCATCACTAGTTTTAGACAAGTGTAGCTTTATTATACTAAAAAACAATTTTGTATTCTGTACTCACTTATGAAGAGTAACTCCAATATTAATTAATGGTGTTATGAATTATTGGGTTCTTGAACATTAAACACAGCTCACAATTATGAATACTGGATCACTGGATATCCAACGGCCATAAATAATACAGTAGGCGCTAAGTGCATGAGTAACTTGTCAGCTAGTCATTGAGTGGGTCATTGACATTAAGTCAGTAATGTATGAGTTAAATTTGAATTCAATGACAAATCATTGCAGTATTGCACACGGAAAATTATTCTGACTGTCAGCCAATATATTATTAAATTATATGTTTATGCTGCTATTAAGGTAATTTATTGTGGTAGGTTGAATTAATTTTTGCCAAAAACATTGCATTTGAAAATGTAATTGTGTACCTACCTGTCCTTCCTAATATTAATCACCTACTTCAATATGAAATTAATAATGCCTACCTAAATAATAAATAATAATACCTACATAAAAGTTTCAATTCCCTACAAATAATAATTTAAAATACATATATAGATTACTTAGTACAACTATACAAAGATTCTCACAAATTGATCTTATAGCATCTCAAAAATACCAAAAATATACTTGTACAATATATTTTGTTGAAAATGTTTAAAAATAAGACTACAGTCTTTAATCCATATAGATTTTTAAACATAAAAATTAGTCACAACAATTTGTTTATTAACAATCAAAGATGAAGGTGCTCTAAACTAGTAATTTTTATTAAATATTGAATGAATTTTTAAAATATCATCAGTTGTCCGTTGCCACTGCAGTTGTGATAATCTTTATTTACAATGGTTTATTAACATTACCTCCAGGGCTATATTACGCCTATACTAATTAATGAATGTTCCCGTTTTACCTTAATAATTTATACAACGATTTATTATTATTATTATTATTATTATTATTATTATTATAGAATATTGTAGGTAAATTCAATTTAAAAAATTAACTTCACACTACATTATCATTCTACATAACTCAGTAAAGAGGCCCGGATTACACCGACGAGCTAACGAGAAAATCTCGATAGAGAGAGTAAAAATTGGGACAGTGGACAAAAAAATGGCCTTTTGTAATTTTCAGTCAAAAATAATCTAGTCTTTCTAGTTAGGTAGTGGAATAACATAGAATGATATAATATAAATCAAAATTGATGGTTAATAACAATGAATGCATCAGTTGTGTCACTGTCACAGATCAAATTGTTAAATTATTTAATCTGTGATTGAATATTACAGTACCTATAGACTATAGGGCATTTTATTCCGGAAAAATATAAACTAAAATTTCCAAGCAAAAAAGAATAGGTATATAAAATATTAAACAAGTGGACAGGTTATAGGTTAGGTCGGCTCTACTGCACATTAGGTGGTTCTGGGCAATGTGTAATGGGTCTGTTAAATTTGAATTCAACATCTAATATAAAATCATTATCTACGAAAAAAGATTCTAATTCGAGAAGGTCTGTCAGCCTATAATACCAATATTAGTTATTAAACTAGGTATCCCGTCCGACGTTGTCCAAGCCAAAGATTTGTATTTTTAATGAATATAGGTATTTGTAAAAACATGTTTTTACCATAATGAGTACCCATATATAAGTTACAAATATACATTCTCCCATATTTATTTAAAGGTATAATTTCTTTATTCGAAACCATACACTCGAAGATTTGATGCACGCTTTTACCTTATGAAAAACATAACAAAAAAAAAATACTAATTTCTACTAATTATTTCTCCTGTAACCATTAGCAACCATTTGTAAACAAACATTTATAGATCTTAAAATCCTCTTTTAAACACGTATTCTCCGGGTTGGAACTTGGAGCTACGGGGTCCAATTGTGAATCTAAATCATCCAGGGAATCATTCAAACATACACAAAATATTTCATAAAAATCGGTCCAGCCATTTAGGAGGAGCCCTGAGTACAGAGTACAGACAATTCTAAAATAAACATTTGGTGCAATTTTCAAGTTGTTTTTGAATTACAAACAAAAAAGATAACCGTTCGATGAGAATTCGTAAATTAAGGGATGAATATTCAATGTCAAACTCAAGAGTCATATGCAAGATTATATTTTAAACTTCAAACGGTCATAGCAAAATAATTTGACCTTGTGGTAAACTTTTTTCTTGTAATTGGTAGACAAACTTATGAATAATCAGCTTTTACATTTTCAAATCTTGGATATTAATATACGAAAAAAATGTTTACTGGATGTCAAATTCAACATAATTTGCAAATTGTGTTGTTCAAATCAAAAATCGATGCACACCTTCGTTAAATACCTATTTAAAACAATCAATATATCCTTTCGACTTTTTTTGATTGTGTAGTGTAAATAAAATAAGAAATAAAGTACAACATTTGTTGTCGATTGGGCTGATAGAAATTTAAGATTTCTGTGGGTCGAAAAGTCTGAATCCGGCGCTGTCTACAAAACAGTAGTCAGTAGATATATGAAAATTGCAGGTATGAAGGCTTTGATGGACAACATATTATAATTACTTAGGTGTGTATAATACTTTATAGTATTATAGACAGTCTTTAAAAGTCGGTTATTTCATATTGATTAGGTATGTAATATCTACAACTTACTAGAAATTGTAGTTTTGTTTTTTGGAACTTAACTCTTAAGAGATACAATCAAAAAAAAAACAAGAATTATATATATACATTTCACTTGTGCAATCATTTATTATAGTTATGAATTTATGATAGTGAAACATAAGGAGTACATTCAATATAAATAGGAGTACATTCAATATAAATTTCAACGTTCAGGGTAGAGCTATAATGGGTCTTTAAGCATAGGAAAATTACGATTTTTTTTTAAAATTATTGTCGATAAAAATTTTTTTCCTACTTGAAATATTTTAATTTAAGTTTTCTCATAAATTATTAATGTAAATTAAAAAAACGTAAATTCACAATAATTTTTCATGAGCTTCTAACAAAATTCGTTAAAATCACGAAAATTTGCAAATTATTATGAATTAGAAATGTACAAAAACATGTTGACAACATTCAAAAATGTACAAATTATTTTGTAGTTAAAAATTTATAAAATAATCAATTTTTATAAATCATTATTGAAAATGTAAGACAAGGTTTTTTATAAGTACCTAGTTCGTACAGTAACCAAAAAATATAAAATCAGTTTTTGTTATAGATATTTTAATTTGAAATTAGTTTGAAATTAGATAAGTATTTAGGTAAACAAAGAAGAACAATTTTAGTTATTTTGTTGCGATTTAAAAATATAACAATAAAAATAAACACGGCATTGCAAAATAAATAATAGGTACATTCATCGTTCCGCTAAAAATCTGAAAAATAATAGATAAAATGCTTTTGTGTAGGATTCATTTATTTCCATAATAGTGTTGCGTACAGTTAAATTTGACCCATATTATAGAATAATTATAGCCAATATTCATAATAGAATGTACACAACCCGAGGGGTCCGCCGCCGTATCGGTACAGACTTATTAATATCTTTCTCTATGGTACAGAACGACAGATCAAAATAGAATATTGTGATAACGATTTATCAGTGGTCACGATTATCATATTGTGTGCATCCTTTATTATTTTAGTTGATAGTAAGCAGTGATAGGATTTGAGTGTTTGACTTAAATGTCGAAACAGGACTGCATACACTGTACAGAAGTCGTCAGGAGTCCATTCCGCATTCATACGAACGGTTTTTCGTAGAACTTGTATGTTCTGTTGCTTAGATTATCTGGACCAATAAACTCGACTAAAGAAAAAAAAAAAAACAAATCAATCGGTTGTTGCCCAAGACATGTGAAAAAAAACAAACACTAACACAGTCAATATAGACTCATAGTCAGGTACTTGCAGCTCACCATGTCTCATATTAGTAAATTCGGATTGCCCGGAGGAAACTTTAAAAAACCGCCTCAGCGAAAAACTAGGTAAGTGTTAAACAAAATTTAGCTGTATTTTTATTACCTACTGAGTGTGCTTGGTTGTTTAGATTGAACCGTTCATATGAAGAGTTAACTCCCATATCTTGGAGTGATTATTTTGAACACAAACGTTTTGTTGACATTGATGGTAACAAGTTTGCGACCTACTCACTGGGCAATGTTGAATCCGTGCTGATTGTCTTGCTCCACGGTGGAGGGTTTAATGCTCTCACGTGGTCTCTTTTCGCTGTGAGTATCTCCATAGTCTAATGATATAATATCAGTTTGTTAGTTTTCAATGAATACTAGTTGTATGCAATTACTAATTATGTTTCCGTTGTTTTGATGTACAGTGTTGTAATATATTATGTATATCTATGTAAGCATTAAGCATTGCAAACCTATTAATGTAGTCTTCAAAGTTCAAATACTTGATTTTATTTACAATTTTAATTTAACTATAATGTGAGTACACTAAAACATAACCTTTGGCGATTGTTATGAAGAATTAACCCACCTACTTCACATATTTTAGTCATAAGTCTGTTTCTTTAATTTTTAATGTAATACATATTAGTAATTGAAAACATGTATTATGCAATTCAATGTAAAGCTATGCACTATTAAATTATTTTCCTTCTCAAACAAGACAACAATTTTGATCCATGACTCAAACTTATTCAGAGATTAACATGTTTTTTAATTAATTTCATAATTTATTATCATTTCAAAAGCATTATGAATATTAATGCTTTAATACAATATTATGATTTAAATTATGCTCAAGTATTTCAAATGCTATATTGAAAATTAAATCATCTTTTTTTTTAGAAACATTTAGTAAAACAATGTGAATGCCAAGTTTTAGCAGTTGATCTTCGAGGACATGGAAATTCATTTACAACAGATGATAATGATTTATCTATGACAACTTTTACTAGGTACACTATTTTGATACACCTAAATTTGTCTACAGAATATTTTAACTGCATTTTTAAAATTTATTGCAGTGATGTCATAAGTTTATTACGTAAATCATATCCAGACAAAATGCCATCAATAGTCTTAATGGGCCATAGTCTTGGAGGAGCTATTGCTGTAAACATTGCTTCTACAGCAGAATCAGATTTGCCTATTATTGGTTTGGTTGTCATTGATGTAGTTGAAGGTTCAGCAATGGAATCATTAACTAGTATGCAAAGTTTTTTGAGAAGTCGTCCAAAATCATTTAAAAGTTTAACGGATGCTATTTCGTGGGGGTATGTATATAAAATATTCTGTTTAGACTTAGATTTAAGACCATAGTATGAGTATTTAAGTAGTTAAATAATATGAAGGCACTAGTACGCTAAAAACATAAAAATATGTAAACATTTACCTCAACCCCCAATTTTAATAAAAATTGCTCAAAAACTTTTTGAAAATATATTACGGCAATATTAAAAATAACAATGATATTTAATTTCATGTAATATTGATTGTAATAAAAGTTAATTAATTTACTAATAGATAACGTGTTCCAGTGTCTAAGGAAAAAAATATGTTAACAATATTAAATTTAAATACTTGTAATTTTAGAAGTTAATATAATGCTAATTATATAATAATATTTAAATACTAGATTATCTGTTCACAATTTCATAAGTTATTGATAGAAAGTTACATGTTTTTAGTATTAATTAAATGTATTTTGTAATTGTTTGCAAACTTAGGATGGGGAATGGTCATATAAAAAACGAGGAATCTGCCAGGGTTTCTATTCCAGGACAGATAAAAAAGTAATTGTATAATAATTAATTATACATTTATCTGTTATTTAAACATTTGTAATTGTTTTGGTTTTAGTGTTGCCACTGGTAAACTTGGTACGGACGAATTTGATGAACCTACAATTGAGACTCCAGTATTAACAGAAGCTATCTTAGAACCTCAATATTCAATAGATTCTATTAAAGAAGATGAAGAGTTTGGTGCACCTTCATTTTCTGTCAGTAAAATCATTGATTTTATAATATACAAATATGCCACACAGTTACTGATGAATAATAATATTATATGAGTATGTTAATTTATATTTTGTTTTTTAGAATGAAAAATCATTGGGTAATTATACATGGAGAATTGATTTGTGTAAGACAGAAAAGCATTGGCCTGGATGGTTTCAAGGACTTTCAAAAAAATTCTTATCCATACATGCCCAAAAATTATTATTACTGGCCAACATTGATCGTATGGACAAAGATTTGACTGTTGGTCAAATGCAAGGTAAAATAATATATAATGAATAAGTAAAATTAATGCACTTAGTAAAAGTGAATTCAATGCCTTAATTTGTATTAATCTGAATTGTTCATAAATTAGAAAATATTTTATTTTATTTTTGATCATTAGGTAAATTTGAAATGCAAGTATTACCCAGAGTTGGACATGCTGTACAAGAAGATGACCCAGAAAAAGTCGCTAGTATTTTGTCAAATTTTTTGGTACGAAACAAATTTGCAAATCCAACAGGAGATTTTGTTCGGTAAGTCTAAATATTTGTTTAAATTTGAAATATTTTGGAAATATGGTGATGGTAGGTACGTGCATTTTTTAAAAATATTTAATTAAAATAATCTTAATAAATAATTAGGTACATTTTGGAATTGTCACAAGTCTGTAGATAAAAGTTAATGAAAAGGTTAGGTTATATGCCATACATTTGCATCACAATTTATTAATGCAAATAGGCGGCTATTAATTACAATTAATAAAAATGACATAAATAAAAATATGTGTATGGGCAAATATTTTTTTTTTAAAACACTTTCCATTTGAACAATTGTGCGTTAATAGAATAGTCTAGGATGGATGTGGATGGAAATGACAAATTCAATCCAACACAAAATTGTTATTAATTATAATGTTAAGTGTTAATTTGATATCAATGTTGTATTGAATAAACTTTCAAATGTGTGTTACAGTATTCTTCCTGGCTGTTAAGATATATTAATCAAGTATTCAGCTTATCAATGGTCTTCATAAATCAGTAAGATTATTGGGTATGTCAATATAAGAGTTAGACATATTAATATATTTTTAATACAAATGTTTATAACTATAACAAAAACATTTAATTATACAAACAATTATGAAACATGACAAACATAATATTATAAGTGGATGTACAAACTGTATCCTATTAATAATTAATATTGTACTTATAAAAAAACAAGCATGTGTAATATATTTTCCTATGCAGTTTACAATAATCTGTATTTTTATACGTATAAAATTTGATTTCGTTAAGTGTTCTTAATAAAATTTAATTGTGTTATATTTGATTTGAAATGTATTTTTTTCATTAGTTATATCTATGAAAATAATTCAATTAAATTTAAGTATTAATTATTAATATTTATGTACTGAAAAATCAAACAAGTTACTTAAGTAATTAAAAAGAGATACAAACATTTAATAAATTTAAACTTAATTTAAACTAGAGTTAATTATTAATTAGGAGTTTTAATTTCATGTTTCAAACAAATTTTGAATGCATCCCATCCTTCATTTTTCGTGTATGACTAAAACAAAGTGCCAACATAAATTATTAAAATATATATTTTAATTTGTTAAATATTACATAATAGGTTTATGATTATTCATTGTTTATTGTAATTAACGTTCTTTAACTCATATTGGGATCTTTAATTCAGAAATAGTAATATTTACAGAAAATTATGTTATTGTCTTATATAATTAAAAAAGTACTTAAATAGAATTAATTTAATGTTGATATTTTGAAAATAATCATCAATGGTATGATAAAATACTTTAGCAGATTAGTACCTTGAATCCTCTATTTAGTCGGTCCTTCATAATGGCAATAAACTCTCTATAACTCAATTGACCATCACCGTCCTCGTCAAATATAGCAAACACGGTATGTACAAGATGCTTGCTCAAACTGGTCCCAGTACATATCTTAACAGCTCTATGAAATTCATCTGTAAAATAAATAAAAATATTATTATAAATGCTAAAATAAAAATATACCAATTAAAGATGAAATGTAGGTTTCTACATCTAAAAGTTGATCAACGTTAAACAATTGGAATTTAACTGAGTTACTTAAGTAAAAAAATAATTGATACTATTTTTGTTTAAACTATAATAACTGTAAAATATATTTACTATAAGCAAATTAAAATAGTACTGCACAACTAAAATCACACTAGTTCATAGTTTGTGAAATGTATATTTTATATTTATTAATAAATTAAGTGATTTCCAGCCTCTCTGCATTTTCTATTTTTCATTACTTGTTAATGTTGTTCAGATACTAATATATTATTTCATAATTAGTTATTGTTATCACTTATTACCTTTAGATATTGGGTGATCGGCCAGTGTATACATTCTCATAGCAATAGTAAAGTCCTCCAAATTATTTAAGAATTGACAAAACACTTTAAACTCATCAAACGAAATGCCTGGTGGTATGCCTTTGTCCATTTTGATTCTCTCCAACAATCGGTCCAGATATGTATCACACCTATCGTAAACATACATTTCCAAATTATATAAGACGTTAATAGTGCATAAAATAAATTTAAATAGCTTACAGATCTGTATCCAAGTGAGTGTATCTCAATAATATTTTGGCAAAATCCATTTCACTTATGGTATCTCCTCCTTTGGCAAACTGTTGGAACTCCATTTCAAGTACTTCTGTTTGCAGATTTTCCATAAAACTAACAATAAGTTTGTACCATATCTTTATGACTCTTATAGCAGATAAATTCTACATATTATTATAATTGCTTTCATTATTTAAGAGGATGCTACCCCATGTGTTTGTTGTCTCCATCTTACAAACACATGATGTAGCAAATTTTAGTTAACTAGTTTGAATAGTGTGCTGTTAATTTTGATATTGGAGTGAATTGACCTATTAACAAACTTTTAGGTAGGAACCATAGATATAATGTACATCCATATTATCTATATTATATAAAACATTATTTTAAGCGTCTATGATTTTTTTCAATATTTTAATTTTAAGCAAGCGACGGATATGTGAAATATCACAAAGTAAAAATTCTCATATCTCGCTTGGAAATAAAATATTGAATAAGAGCCGACACCTTCCTTTTGTAGGAAAATGTTTTACCAAATATTAACATCCATAAATTAGAAAATATCCTTACAAATATATAGACACTCAGTAGGTATCTGCTCATAACCATTTTCGTTTGATTTATCATTGAATTTAAATGTAACACATCCATTACAGTGACCTAATCAATGACGAGAAGATAATACGCAGAGCTACTTTTCCGGTGTTATAGAATTGTTTTCACGAAAACTATACCTAGTGTAAAATATAATATAAGTACCTACTACCTAGTGCGTTTATAATTTAAAATTATTTTTACTCAAAATTATTTAAATTTTAGAGGGGTGCGTTATTTTTAAAATAGTTACAAAAGGAGGGATGAAATATGCAAACTAAAAACAGTAATACAATGATTCCCCGCCCTCAAAAACTTCCATCACTGATTTATTTGGTGTACTTTGTATTTCAAAATATCTGGATAGTGAACTAACTTATTCTCATACAGAACCTGGCAGAATAGCATCCGATTGAAATACGAACATACTGTGGGAGGATTGCATAGCAAATATAATATATTGTATACAATATAACCTCCTATCCTATCTAATAGAAAATACCCACGGTTTGGGTTTTTATACGCACACTACGGCGAATGGCGACCGCGATGGTGCAAATAAAATGTAAAGTATAATACATATTGGAATAATTATTACTTTCTGAAGTCTTCGTACAGTAGCACGTTGTCTCCCTTTTTGCCGAAAAAATGAACGATCAACGTAGTGTCGACCAAATGCTTTTTTTGTAGACCCTGAGCGTCGTCAACAAAATCGTCGGCGTCTATTTTGTTCGTGTTGGACTTGTCATCTTCCACGCCGTGTTTGTCCTTCCAAGACTGGCTGAAGATTTTTTCCATCTAATAAACATCAAACGTCATTTGCACACAATTTATTGCGTTAGTATTGTTAAGTACTAAAGTAGTAGTGTAGAATCGAAATTGTGTATACGTTTATTGAACAAAAAATATTTTGTGGATAAATGAAAAAAAAATTCTTAAGCGCAACACGCAAACATAAAAATGTGTACACACTATAGACATATGTGTGTGTGTGTGTAGAAAGCAAAGCAAATAAAAAATACTTAAAAAGATAAACCGACCAAATCATCAGCAGCGCGGTTAATGATGTTTGAATCTTCGTCTGGCACCCGTTGAACGACAGCCACTTGTTTCGTAGATAATTGGGACAACTGTAATATCACATTTATATAACAAAGCACCCACTCATTTTTTTAAGCCACGTAACATTTTCTACCCTTCACCAGTTTGTCACAATTTCCATAATTTTTTACTTTTACTTTGCAGGATAATAGGGTAGACAAATATACGGCGACGCTGTGTCGGTGTATCATAATTCATAAGAATGTATTATGTATTAATGTACACACAAATATATATATATATGTATTTTTAGGGGGGTGTTGTGTGTGTGCGACAGATGAATTTATAGTCCTCGAAAAAAAAACGATAAAATCTTATCGTTTTTAAAATAAAACTCGAGTGCCGAGGTATCCCCTCCACATCAAGTTTTCAAAAACTACTATTATTTTTGTTAAATATATTGCATGTAAAGCAAAATAGTTGACTGATATTGTCTGAAAGGAAGTGGATGAAGTAAAGTATTTTACTGCGAAGTGTCCATAGCCATCATAGAACCATTAAGTAAGTAGATATGGTTTTTAAATTATAATTGTTGAAAAAATAGTCATTTTGGTGAATGAAAATAGCATTTTAAATATAATGTATTTATTCTTTTGGTTACCCGTTGACGTTCAATTTGCGGCTTGGTGATCTAATGTAGTGTGCAGTCTACCTTGAATTTGTCTACCTATTTATGAATTGAAATCGTAAAATATTTTTTTAATAAACTTATAGTTTTATATAGTAAAAATTAATATTGAAATTACAAATACTAATTATTCTGGTTGCCTCATAGTTCATTTTAAATTACTTTTAATCACAAAGGATGCTGTATAAACTTAATTATTTTTGTACTTTTACCTAGTCCTTAAAAGATCGACCAAATTCTCTCTATGATTAACCATTCTTTGCACTTCATGGAAATATCCTATTTGAGAGAGACCATTATAACCAGTCTATCCAATAAACTGGAGCATTGGTCCATGTTGCACTTCTTGTTCAATTATTGGATGTAAAGTTGTCATGCACCCTTTAATAATAAAACATCGAGCTTCGATTTTCCCAAATCTTCCTTTACGCATATTCTATGTGTACCGAAGACTAAATCCCGTGGGTTCTGAAAGTATTCTTCTAGAATGCAAAATTTTCTCATTTTCAATATTTTCAGCTTAAATAGTGTACCTGGTACAACACAACTACAAAATATTATGCCAATCGATATTTCATTGATAGACCACAATTTTGGTAGACTGCATATTCATGGCTGCTATTTTATCTGATACATATTATAATATATTATATACATAAATTTAATATTTTAACTATAGGCACCTATCTGAATACGATAATATATATTTAAATACCATATAAAATAAAACATGTTATACATAATCATAAACGCAATGAGTGCTTATGAGTCTGTAAAACAGCATATTAGTATTGTAAGTATATTTAGATACTATTTAGATATAACATGTCCAACAATCTACTTTGTTTTTGGCGGTTCTTAAAAAAAAAAATTTGTTTTTAAATTGCATGTATGTATTATTGTTATTCTTTTATATTAAAATCGCATACTAAGTATAGGTACATTTTTAATTTTGTAAATAAAAGCGTATACAAATTATGTCAGACGAACCACGAACAGATAGACAGAAAGACGAATATTAATTGTTCACAGGTTACTGAGGACAAGCGATGTGTGATCTTTGTTATTGTAATGTATGGGAGAATATTTTGTTTAGTCAATTTAATGTAAATAGAAACGACAGAGTTACATAGTTAGTACGAGAAATCAAAATTAATGACCTAGACATACACAAAGTGCAGACAACAAGAAAAGCATGATTTAATTTACTTTTAGTCCAATTTTGTTTTATGAATATCGATTATAGAACATTATTACATTTTTATAGCCTATGCATTTTAAGTTAAGATTAGTGGAGTATCAACATGTCGATTTTTCCAGTTAGGTACTATATAATTTTCTAAACTTTAAAAATTTAATGATTATAATATTTAAGTCCAGC